GGGCCAGGCTTTTATACTCCTGTATCTACCAGTCATTCTATGAAGGCCACAATTTGTGGGGAGTGGAAGGAGTAACTCTGAACCAGCCTGCTCTCTGGCTGAAGCCAGTTTCTGAAGAGAAACTAATTTGAGTGCTGTCAACACTCCCAACACTGGAAGAAAAGAGAGCTTAAGTTCTGAGAAGGGACTCTGAGCAGTGCACTACAGTGTTCACTACAACGAGACGCTTAACTTTTGCTACAATAGTCTTGTAATGCTAATAGTGAATGATAATTAACTTGGGTGTACATAGAATATTAAAACTTTTTAAGTAAATTATGTATTACCAGTGATGGCTAACATCTCAGTTATTCTGTAGCATGGTTGTCTTTATCTTTGGATAGCTTTAGAAATCTAAAATGCCAGCCTCTGGTTTCCAACTGAGACCCAAGGGAAGTTAGAGTTAAGATTATCATTAGCTTTAATGAGAATAATTTTTACAGGATCCCATGTGTTAGTGAAAGACTATAAACATCTCCACATGTTGAGCGTTGAAATCCCTTTTTTATTTCAGCCTTGAAATGCATACAAAATTGTTTTGTTTGCAGAGCTTTTTTATTTTTTTGAGATGAAGTCTCACTTTGTTGCCCAGGCTGGAGTGCAGTGGTGCAATCTCGGCTCACTGCAGCCTCCTCCTCCCTGGCTCAAGTGATTCTCCTGCCTCAGCATCCCAAGTAGCTGGGACTACAGGCATGCGCCACCATGCCTGGCTAATTTTTTTGTATTTTTAGTAGAGACAGGATTTCACCGTATTGGTCAGGCTAGTCTCGAACTCCTAATCTTGTGATCCACCTGCCTCAGCCTTCCAAAGTGCTGGGATTACAGGCATAAGCCACTGCTCATGGCCTTGTTTGCAGAGCTTTTATCAAAATAACATTGAAGATTTTTCATATGTTTTGTTTTATTCCTAATAGAGTTTCAAATATATTAGTATCAGGTGAGTATTTTAAAATGTTTTTATTAATCTAAGTTAAAAATTATAAGAAAGTAAGAGTTACACTTTCTATTATATAAAAAAGCTAAAATTCTAAGGGAAAATGGATGTATTTTGAGGCTATATTCAGAATGAAAAAGAAGATAGCAATTGAGCGATATACATCTTGATGCTTGTTGACACGGTGACTCCCATGCCAAAAAATAAATTCAAATGTTTGAGTACAAAAGAGTGGCAAAGTGGTATAATTGAATCAAACACATGAAATTTACTAGTTGAATAAACAGGTCAATTTGCATTTAACACTAAGGGATCGATTGATATTTGGAATGAGGGTTGGTGACAGATGGCACAGTTTTGTAGTCCCATTTCAGCCAGTTAACAAGAATTGACAGATGTACTCATGGTGCTGAGCAATTATTTAAATAGAAATGTTTAGAATTGTTTCTTAAAATAACTTCAAGGTTTTTCAACTCTGACTATAGTTCTTAAACTGCCCTAAGTAAATGAACGTATTTCATGAATTTAGAATTCTAGTAATGTTTTAATTGAATAGTTGATTATCATAGTTTATTTAATGAAACAATCTGTCTGATCTTGGTATATACTAATAGTGTTTCTTAGTCCATCAAATTGGTGGTTGTAACAAAATGAAGACTTCCAAAAATGAATATCAATTGCATGTGGTGAGAGACACAGCTCAAGAAATCATTGAGTAGAAAGAAATGACAATGCAGTTGAACTCTTCTGAAAGTTTTAATTTTCAGTGGACACTACCCTCATAGAATTATGTACTGTTCCAGTTACTTTACTCTGAAAGCTCAGGAAATAAAGTTTGATTTACTTCGTGTTGTCCTGTAGAAAAATGGTTCCAAGGCTATATATTGTACCCAGCCATGTATCCTTATATATTAATAACAATTGTCCTGATGAGAAAGTATAGATGACTGATAGAAAAAACACATATATTAAAACCTATGTGGGGAAAATTTTGTTAAATTAATTAACAAATATTTTAATATATGCCCCACTGCTCTACCCACAAAATGCGTTTAAAAATATAAGAACCTTAAAAAAAATAAACAAGTACTGAGGACAATAATGTTGAAGAAACTGTTGAAAAAGTAAGTGGTAGATAAACTGTTCCAACCTACAAGTATATGTGAAGCATTTATTCTTAAGAAATGTGATGTTTTAATGTCAGTGAACATAGATTGCTGTTGGGGCCACATGCCTGCAATCTCTGAATCCTCTAAAAAAGAAGTTCACAAAAAAAAGAAAAAAAAATATAAAAATCCTGTATACCTACACACGTAAGTTAAACAATACACAGCTAAAGAGAACACTAATAAAATACAAGATATATTTGAGAAAATTCTCCCAAAAGAAAGGGATGCTATTATATTTCCCATCTCATCAAACTGAAATTCAGGCAGAAGAGACTTGAGAAGAGACACTATTTTAAGAAATATTAGTGAAAAATGATTCAGATTTAAAGAGAAACATCAATTCTCAGATTGCAAGAAAACATATCAAGTCCCTAGAAAGATAAAACAAATTTATAACTAGATAGAGTGTTCTGAAACTATAATATATCAAAGATTTGAAAAGATGTGAACATTGAAGAGAAATGACAAGTTATTTTCAAAGAGACATAATTGAATGGATAGCAGATTTTTCATTAGGAACAACTGGTGCATAAGGAGAATAAAATAATACTTTCAGATTCTGGGGAATACAATTATATAACCTAGCTAAATAATTATTTGAAAATAAGAGTTAAAGACATAGTCATAAATATAAAAAGAAAATCGTTGGCCACAGACTTTTATTGAAAGACTTACTAAAAGATGTACTTTAGCAAGAAGAAAACTGAAAAGGAAAGTATGGAAAGCAAGAAGAAATAGTGAGAAAAGCTGCTGATCAAAGTTCTAAATACTGAAATTGCTAAGAATGCTTATAACTATTTTTGGAGTGTTTAAAAAGAACGTGGAACTTAAATACTAAATAGTAATTACAGTGACTAAAGGAGCAGATCTGAAGGAAATGTAATGTATTATATATTCTCAAATTTTTCGGAGGAAGATAGTGATATTAATTAACATTAGAATTGTTTAGTTAGAAATAAAGTTAACATATGTTAAAAATTTAAAGAAAATTAAAACACTAAAACAAAAGAAAAAGACTGTTTAATTTCCAAACCAGGGTGAACATTCCTACTGAGTCAACAAAAGAAAGAAAAATATGATACTAAGAAAAGCACAATTTTCTAGAATCTAGAATAAGATGTAAACAAATATCCAAATATGTTAGTAATCAAAATAAATATAATAAATCAATTATCTCTATTAAGAGAAAGAGACTTGAGATTTGATTTAAAATAAATAGCTATGTGTTGTTTGCAGATTATAATGTCTTACAAAGGGAAGTGGAAAATTAAGGAATGATAAATTATATACTAATCAAAAAAAGAAAATAATAGTTTTATCAGAAATATATAGAATTAAGACAAAAAAATTATAAATGAGGACATTAAGTAAGCTAAAAGTAATGTATTTCCCCAGATGATATAACAGCTGTGAAGTTGTATAGCAACCAAAATGATCAATATATGAAGTGAAGTAGGCAGAACAGCAAGAAGAAACTAAAAATCTTATAATGATAGCTGGGTACATTAACTCATTTCTTTTGGAGACAGAGTAGCAGACGAGAATATTATAGGAAGATGGTGAAAAGGAAGAGGGCTAAAAGTGAGTGCCTGTTGGTAATATGAATTGGGACGCTCATTTAGAAGAACAGTCTGGTAACATTCATTTGAAAGTGCATGAGAAGTATTTCCTAATAATTCTGCTTCTAGATATACCACTTAGGAAAACTACTGCACATCTGTTCAAGAGGACATGTTCAAGAATTCCCAATTAAGCATTGCTTTTATTAGTAAAAATGGAAAACAGCCTAAGTGGTATACAAATGCTATCCAGCAGTTAAAATGAGTAAACCTGATTTTTATGTATAATGTGGGAAGAATTTTTAAAATACTTTTTTTGAGTGACCTACATAAATTTTAGAAAAATTGGCCTATGCTTTGAATATAAATTAAAATACTGCATAATAATTAAAAATACTGGCAAAAGCTCTGATATAAGATCTTATTCCTGATTCTAAGGAGATAATTGAAATAGAGGGAGGAACAAGAGAATATCAAAAACACTATTTCTTTCAAGAAAAGAGGAAAACAAAGCATTTCTATTAAAATTAAGAAAGCAAGGGTTCTAAAGATCATAGTGTTTATTTAATATTTTGGTGGTTCTAGATAATAGAATAAGACACTGGGATAAACATAGTAAAGAAAAGGTTTTGTTTTCAGCTATAATTGAATACCTAAGAAAATCAGAAATTTCAATTGAAAACCTATTTAAACTAAAAAGAAAATTTACTAAGATGGCTGCATAGAAAAATCAAGAGTTTTCCTTTTATAGTAGTGTAACAGGGTGTGAAAATGAAAGCTTTGACTGAACTCTGAATTGAATTACAATGTTCTATGAGTCAGATCAACAAGCTGAAATTTCAAAGAAGGTGTCTGTGAACCTGCTAGATGAATCATCTACATCAAGGAGCTAAAACAGTCAGGTGGCTGGTGATTCAACAGGATTTGGTGAAGAGAACTGGTTTGGAAAATCTGTATTCCCCAGTCCTGTCTTCCATCCCAGAGAAAGGGAGGAGGGATGATTGACCTTCCTTCTCAAATCTAGGGAGAAAGTTTTACGAGGGCTGTTTGAAAAACTTGATAGATGTTTTCCATAGTGTGACTAGGTAACTAAGTTCCTTCTAAAAAGAAATAGTGAACACAGATGTCTTGTTCTACTTGGTCCAGGAGCAGTGGCCTTAGAGGAAGGAGGGAAAGGAGAACAAGACATCTGTGTTCACTATTTCTTATTAGAAGGAACTTAGTTACCTAGTCACACTATGGAAAACATCTATCAAGTTTTTCTAACAGCCCTCGTAAAACTTTCTCCCTAGAAAGTTTTAATAACTTTTATTTTGATTATTATTTCTTGTTTCTTTCTAAAAGTCAGTGTAACTCAATAATGTCACATTCCCTCAGGATCACCACAAATATCATTCTTTTTCTTTTTCATATTTTAGAGTTTAATTGCTTCATTTTGTTTGTTTTGAAACATTTATCCAGATATATTTTAAGAAAGAAAATATCTGTGGCACAGCATTTTTATATGGAGCATAATTAATCAACTAAATATATTATTTGCCAAATTAATATTTTTTCATGTAATTTGTTACACTAAAGGAGTGATTTTTGTCAACTTATTCCCCAATCTTCAGCTGACTGGAAATCTTTGAAAGAAAGATAATAAAGGTAACATATTTTATTAGATATCATTAAGAGAGATGATTCTACAAAATCCAAGCTTGCAGGACTTCTATCATCATTATTTTTTTAAATAACCATTTAAAAAAAAACTTTTCTGGAGCTGAAGCAGGGATCTCAACCTGAATGCAAAGATTCAGAGCAGTCTGGACAATTAGTAAAATGGAATGTGGAAACCTGTTGACATCCCAAGTAGGCTGTCTTTGTCCAACACTGAATCTCCATTGCCAACAAATTTCTCAGTAGATGTTTGTTGAATCAATAGGATAATGGAAGGATCATTGAATGGATGGACAGATAAAGGAGAATAAAGATAATTAAGAAATGTCACAGGTGAGTGGCTATTACCTAGACTGGTGGTGTGGAGATAAGAATTTACTAACAGTTGTAGGTAAAGAAAAGTTTAAAGATTTATTAGAGAAAGTACAAAATTATGTTTCAAGGAAGCAATGGGTAGGCTAGCAAAAAGGAGCTGACTGCAAGGAAACAAAGGCTTGCTGGGGATTTTACAGGACCGTGCTTGTTCCGTGTGCCGAAGAGGGCTTTGTGCAGTACTGATAATGCCAAGATTGCAGTGAGCTAACTTGCATTTTTTGCATCATCCCAGGTACTGGTGATAGCTGGGCGCAGGAGGACTGGGATTTATTTGTGCAGGAGAGCTATGTGTTTCTGGACCGTGAGAAAGGCACACATAGATTATCTGCTTTCTCTTTTTGCTTTCCCTCAGTCCCAGCAGCCTGACTCCTTTTTCCTAATTAGGATTCCACAAGAAAGCGGTTTCTGGATTATCAGAAGGTGGATCACCCTAATAAACAGAGGATCTACTGCTGGTATTTGTTTCCTGTCCTGACTTCATCAAACTCATGTCCAAGGTCAGAGGATATCAGGAGAACTGTGAATGACAACTATAAACGTGGTTTCATTAAAACCTCAAATTATTGCTTGAAACACAAGCAATAATGCTTGTAATCTCTGCTAATGAAAGAAGGAAAACCTTCTTCCCCACCTAACATCAAAGTATAGGGGTTTTCCAGACTGTCCCTGCGCAGCGAGTTTATTCTTAACTACTTCTACCACATATCCTCGGGCTCATAGCAATATATGAGGAACAGTTTACATGTGGCTATAGCCTGCACTGATAGATGCTAGAAATAGCCAATATTATTTAAATTCTCCTCCTAATGTGTCTTAATTATAATGCCAGGATCAGGGCTCTGCCCTACAAGACCCTGAGACTAAAGTGCCTTTTTAACTTTTACACTGTGGGCACCTTTCTTGCTTCACCCTAGTTTTTGGCCTTGTTTAATTAATACCTATTAGCTAATGACAAATAAAGATCCTAGGTTAAAAAAATATTTCACTGTGTTTCATATCCATTGATGAAGCTTCTAGGATATATAAAAAAATGGTGAGACTAAAAATACTGACCTCAGGTCATTGCTTTCCGTGGAAAATGACTTAATGCATGTTAACCCTACATCCCCAAATATTTTAATTTTTCACCCACTTAACTTCCTCAAACCTCGATTGAGGTCCTTCTCTAGGAGTAATTACAGAGCCAAAGATGACTGCAGCTCAGTCACTGCCCTTGGGACTGGGCAGTTATTTATAATAGCAGAATTTTTTTTTTCCCTTAGCAGTTGTAATAAGTATACACTGACCAGTCTCCATTCTGATACTTCATTTAGAAGCTAAGCAGTACGTTTTTTAAAAAAGTTTTAAAGCCACTTTAAAATTAGAAAAGCTTTCAAATGGTGTATGACATATACTATACCGACAGGCTAACTTGTATGCTTTGGAGCACCACTCAGAATAGCTGTAGTTTTATTCCTACAGAAAATGATGTCAAATAGGCCCAATCTTGGTGAATGTGGGCTGGTGTGGGACCTTCTTTTAAAAATAGAAGTGTCCTGACTAATCTGTTATACTGGCAACAGATCTAAAGACTATAGGCTGGTACTTGTGAAGATTAGAGAAAATGAAGACACACAAAGACAGATTTGCCTTTCCCATCGTGGCTAAGATAAATCTGTCATTCAGTTAGAACTGCAAAGAACTTTCGTTTAGATTTTAACTTTTTGATATATAATTCACAAAGGGAATTTGTCTCACTTCAAAAATAAGTTTTCAAATATCAAACAACAGAAGAAATGTTTTTTTACATTATAGAAATATTTGAGACTTTTCTGACAATGCCCTCTGTCCTAGAAAAAAAAAAAGGAGCAAACTTTGTTCTCTAGAGTTTTCCTAACAAACCTCTTTCATTTGTCTCTGTGGAAACAGTCAAATTGCCAGGGGCAACTTTGCCAACCATATGTTGTCAGAGATTTAACATTTTTTTAAAGGTTAGGTTGCATTCTTCTATTTATTTCATTAATCTCTACTGAGGGCTGGTTTTATACTAAAACTGTTAAATTGTTGGTGAATTTACTGATCTTTTGTAAGAACTAGCAAGTATAGACCTGAGTGTTGAGGAGCTAACAAAAGTACTTTGCCGAACAGTGGGCATTTACAGCTTCTTTACAGGGCAACAAGAAAGGGTGTTAACATAATCTGAGCAAATTCAAGGTGACCTTGTTAGCCAACTATTGACTGAGGTGGGAGGAAGAGGGGAAGGAGGAGGAAATAGATGACTGATCTAAATGAGTTTTGCATTTTATATTGTGCTTATACCAGCCTTCAGAGCAAATTGTGTGCATCTTCTCCCAGCTCTGTGCTCGGTGACACCGTGTTGGTAGCTTCTTTTTTTTTTTTTTTTTTTAAATGTTAAAAAATTAACCTGTCATCCTTGCGCAGGGGCCATGCTAATCTTTGTATTGTTCCAATTTTAGCATATGTGCTGCCAAAGCGAGCACGTTGGTAGCTTCAAACAAACCATGGTGGGAGTATTTACACTGCAAAAATAAGCAAATATTACAAATCCTGGCATTCCCTCCCTGGAGAGCCAGTTGTTAAACCTTTACCAGCGCACCGCTCATTACCTGGAAACTCCCAATGGACACTTTGGCAAAGAAAAGCAACTTAGTGAAAAAGAAACAAATCACAAGCTAGGATGAAAGTATCAAGAGGGGAAGGAAGAGAGAGAATTGAGGCGGTTGTGGTTAAGATAATAATGTAATCACCTAGGTAAGCAATGACTATTGGAAAAACGCAGGTAAGAATTGAGCCCATTTACTGAGATGGTTGGCTATTTCTGTGATGTAAATTTATTGAAGTGACACCCAGGCAGACGCTAGAAAGACATTAGATAGTTTTGCCTGGAGTTCCTTGGACTAGCAGGAAGCAGCCCATTTTTAGAGTTAAATAAAAGCTGGGGACAAAATATAATTAAAATATGGCATGTCGAGAGGGCAAAAACGGATAAATACAGGCACTTCGAATGAAGAATTGAAGAGGAATAAGAGCAAAAAAAGTTTTAATCTCTAACTCAAGTCAATTTAGTATAATCTATATCAACACTGCTCATAATAACTAACTTCTTCCACATTTCTAGAATATTCCAGGTACTGGGTTATATCCTGTATATACATTATGTGAATTGACATTCATGGTACTCATGTAAGTAAGTGCTAATATTGCCTCATTTTACAAATAAACTAAATGAAACTTAGAAGTATTAAATCACTTGACCGAAGTCTAGTCCAGAGCCTAAGCTCTTCCCCACTTTAGTATGCTTTGCTACGCCATTCCAGGGCTTGCTAGATAAAGTTTAAGAAGAGAATTCTGAGGTAAATTTTAGAACTGAGGAATAATGACTCCTTAGTTCATTGAGATCTCTTATACCTAAGGAAGGTACCACTAAACTTGAATTTCTATTTTTATGATTGTGCTTTTAATTGGTATCTTTTTCACAGTACCTTCAACATAGAGTATCTACGTCTCATAAATGTATATTATATAAAATAATTCTTTCATTTATATAAAGTAATGTGAAAAGGCCCAATTTACTGTATAGTATCTACATCTGGAAACTTCAGCCACCTAAACACTTTTCTTTTTCTTAAGTAAATTTTTTGAAGTATAATATACATATATATATATATAAAGGACATATTTTGTAAGTGTAAAGTTGAATGAATTTTCACCAAGTATGCATACTAGTACAAAAATTGCCTAGAAAAATAGACCATTTTCAATAACCCAGGAATCCTTCTCATGCCCCCTTTAGTCCCAGCCCCCAGCAAGTGCAACTACTGTCCTGATTTCTATCACCAGAGATTAGTTTGTACCTATTTTTGAATTTATATAAGTGGAATTATAAAGCATGAATACTGTGTCTGGTGTTCTGTTTGGTAAATACTATGTTTTTGAGGTCTATTTATGTTGTCTGTAGTTACAGATCATTCATTCTCACTGCTACATGATAGTCCATCATTTTCTCAATGTACTAATGGAAATTTGAATTGAAAAGTATTTATTATTATTTATTATAAGATTTTCTTCCCTTGAACTGCTATCTGTGTTAAGCGTTTTGAGCCATCGACAAAGGTCTTGGAGGTTAGGAGAATATTGTGAAAGAATTTGCCTGGAAAATATACACTCACATAAATTAATTTCTGCTTTTGTTCAACTTCCACTTTATATAACTGGTATATTAAATTCCTAAATCTTTAAACCTTCCTAAGATACTTCAGAGTCAGATGACTTTCTTACTATCTATCCCACTCAGAGATCTCAAAGGCCTATGTAAATTCACATACATGATCCAAAGTTTTGCACATACAATAAGTATAAATTTATAGACCACTAGTAATCCTACTAGCAACTATGAGAACTTTGGGCAGCAGTGCAAACCATTAATAAAAGCTCTTGTTCCAAGCAAAACTCCTAAAGACAACATTCTACTTTCTTTGCCACATTGTAGCCTTTTGCACAAAGTCAATACTCAGCTAAAGTTTGGTAATCTAAATTGAGTTTGGTCATTTCAACAAAGAAAATTAGAAATTATTATACAGAAGGTATTAATTCAATTAATGCCTTTAAAATATCTCTAGTTCTGTAGAAAATAATCAGTTATTAATCAAAATTATATCTAGCATACAAATATCTCTTTTCTGATTGGTTGGAAGCCAGTACTCCTTAATTTCTTTCTGAAGGAGCAATTTGAAAATATATTGAAAGCTGTGGAACTTCTTAGAAAAATTCTGATGAACAGTATTTTTCCACACAATTCTTGTGGGTCCATCTAGGATTCTGTGAGGTTTCTGTGGACCTCGTATTAAGAAATTGTATTCTAAACACATTTGATGTTAAACATTTGTTGAATAACTAAATGTCAGGGAATGTGCTATTTGTCACTTTGTGGCATGCATTTGATGAGGGCTATATTGCTCTAAAGGGAGTAACAATTTGTTTTGGGAAGGTGAAAAAAATCTTACCATTTTAGTGTTTAAAACACAGAAATACACACAGCACATTGACTAATAATATATCTGTGGTATTAAAATTTATAAATGAAGCAATTTTTAAAATGTCTACAATGCCTCCTTATGAGACAATCATGAAAAACAGAAATGCTGTTCAACAGCAATTTGCATTTGTGTAACGTTAGCATCAACAGATCAGGGAAACTTAAGGATCCACACATAAAAGGGTTTCCTGGATCTATTAATTATATCTCCAGTACCTAGTATGGTGTTTGCCAGCCTGATACACAGAACTCACAGAACTGCTTCTTATTCCATATAAATTCCTCTGGAAATGGGAAGGTCAAAAGGACTACTGAAAAAATCAAAAGGACTACTGAAAACTAGCAAGCAATAATAATGACAATTTTTCATGCCATAAACTGTTATTTTGAATTAATATAGGCCTTAGAATTGATTCTTGTTGTTAAAGCCAGGAAACTAGATGGGAATCTCAAATTCTCCCTCTGTTTGAGGCAAAACAAATTTAAAGCAAGATCTTACAGAACTTGATCAGAATACATTATAGTGCATATTATTATTACATTGAATCATTAGTCATCCAAACTAATTTGTTGGGTAATAGAACAGATTTTTAAATTTAATCTTGAAAAATACATCAAAAAGTTACAGCAAATCTCTGTAGATGATTAGAAGTTTTTAGTGATTTTCTATTTATCAGCGTCTTAATGACTGCTTCTAGGCAATTTGACTCCAGGAAGAATGTACCATTTATAGTGCATCAAATTAATGTCATAAAATGTTAATGACTTAACATTTCAAAATACAATAGTTTGCTCATTTATATAAGCCAATCTCCTTAGATGTGGTTTTCGCTAAATAATGGTGACTTTTTAACAATAAAGTCTAAAAGAGCAGAATCCTTTTGGTTTGAGTTGATGACTCACCAGAAACCTCACCACGGTTAAAAAAAAAAAATCATGGTCCCAATATTTTAATACTTACTGCATCTTTTGACGCTTGGGTGGGAATCCTGCTACAGTCAGAACTCTCTGGTTTGGGAGGTACTATAGCTATTGCTTTCTTTACTGATCATAGACAGCCTTTCGCATTTTATAAAGCCACCTAACAAATGATAGCACAAAATGAACCAAGAGAATGGAGAGCAATCAGTGTAAATTTTTATTACCATTGTCAGGTGGTGGGGTGAGGGCAACTCTATTATTATAACAAATAAATAAAGCTTGCAAAGGCAATGACTGAGTTGTAGTCATCTCTGGCTCTCTAGTTACTCCTATGGAAAGACCTCAATCAATGTTTGAGGACATTTTTTGGATAAAAATTATAAAATTATACAGGTATAAAATTATAATAACATTTGTCTGAGGGTGTAGAGTTTATATGCATTAAGTCATTTGCATTGAAAGCAATTACTTGAAGTCAGTACTGTTAGCCTTGCCATGTTTCACATCCAAGAAGTTTCATCAATGAATAGGAATGAGTAAAATATTTTTTAAACTAGAGTCTTCAGTTTTCATGAGCTAATAGGTATTAATTAAGCAAGGCCAGAACTAAAGTGAAGCACGAAAAGTGGGTAGGGTGTAAAAGTTAAAGAGTCACTTACTCTCAGGGTCTTGAAAGGCAGGGTACTGGTCCTGATTCTAACAATAAAACAACCCCATGTTTCATGACACATAGCAAGGGTGTTTGCAGTTGATGGGAAAAACAAGTCTAAAAACATTGTCTTTGTCCCACAGCCAGAAATATTTTTATTACAGAGATCTTATATGATGACTTTATTTTCTTGTCATTGTGATTTCTTATTATTTTAGTTTGTTGTTAATTGGCATCTTGTTATATGAAGTACCTGTCTGTTAGCCTTGGATAAACTTTGTATAGATTTTTCCACTCTCTGGGCACTAAGAATATGCTTAGATACAGCATTTCTGAAAGTGTGGGACAAATATCAGTGATTTGAAGGATAGTTTTAGGTGGTACACACATATAAATACACACATACAACATTAAATAACTTCTAATAACATGAAGTAACAATTCCTTTGGTCCTTTAATTTAGGCCAAATACAAAGACTCATAAAAATGTTACTGTATCTTTGACTTAAAGTTCTCTAAAACTTGTTTTCAACAAAGGATGGACATCAGGTTATAAAATGTTTTTTATTTGCTTTACGTGTAGCCATTTTCAGACTGATATTAAGTTCCTTAGAAATACATGTATTTAGGCCAGGTGCAGTTGTTCACCACCTGTAATCTCAGCACTTTGGGAGGCTGAGACAGGTGAATCATGAGGTCAGGAGTGCAAGACCAGCTTGGCCAAGATAGTGAAACCCTGTCTCTAATAAAAATACAAAAAATTAGCCGGGTGTTGTTGAAGAGGGAGACCCAGGCTTCTCAGATCAACTTCCCCTTTGACTATCATGCTGCATTTCAATAGAAGAAAAGGTTGACTGACTGGCGCCTCCAGTTTT